CTGGATGGACCCAATCATAGAGTTCATCACAAACGGAAGTCTACCAAGCGATGCCAGGTTGGCCAGAAGCATCAGAGCCCGAGCTCCTAGGTACTGCATGATCAGCGGTGTCCTTTTCCGCAGAAGTATTACTCTTCCGTACCTAAGGTGTCTCAGGCCATCAGAATCATCCCAGGCCCTTGCTGAAGTTCATGAAGGTGTGTGCGGGAATCATCAAGGAGCCAGGGCCTTGGCCTTTAAACTCGTACGATATGGATACTACCGACCAACTATGAAAAAAGACGCCTCAGAATATGTTAAAAATTGTGATAAGTGCCAGAGGTTTGGCAACGTTATCCACTCACCAGCCGAAGACCTCACCAACATTAACTGTTCGGCCCCGTTTGAACAATGGGGAGTTGACATCCTCGGCCCCTTTCCTGTGGCAAGAGGTCAATTAAAGTTTGTTGCTGTAGCAGTAGAGTACTTCACAAAATGGGTAGAGGCCGAACCTCTCGCCACAATATCGGAGCCCAAGCTAAGAGCCTTCACTTGGAGGTCTATCATTTGCAGGTTTGGGATACCAAAGGTCCTAATCACCGACAATGGCAGGCAATTTGACAACCAACAGTTTAGAAACTTTTGCTCAAACCTTGGGATTGATCACCGTCTGACATCAGTTTCGCATCCTCAGAGCAACGGTCTGGCCGAGGTAACAAATCGAATCATATTGCAAGACCTCCGAACAAGAATAAGCGATGCTAGAGGTTCTTGGCCCGACGAGCTGCCTTCTATACTTTGGACGTATAGAACAACTCATAGGACAACCACAGGAGAAACCCCTTTTATGTTGGCCTATGGCATTGAAGCAATGGTCCCGGTGGAAATTAGACTGCCAAGCCATAGGAGGCTCGTGCCAGAAACCTCGGAGCATACAACTGAACATCTTGATCTCTTGGAAGAAGTACGGGAGCAAGTCGCTATAAAGGTGGCCTCTTACCAAACTAAGACAGCGAAACATTTTAATAGCAAAGTCAAGGCTCG